TCTTGTAGTTTGTAACAATTGTTGCCTTCCTTCCAGGTGAAGGTGCTAAAGGAGAAAATAGAAGCCGAGAAGGGTCGTGATGCTTTCCCCGTGGCTGGCCAGAAACTCATCTATGCTGGCAAAATCCTGAGTGATGACGTCCCCATCAGGGACTATCGCATCGACGAGAAGAACTTCGTAGTCGTCATGGTGACCAAGGTGGGTGAAGTGTGCTGGTGGGGAGGGTGGGTGCATTAGCCGGGGAGCTGGTAAAGAGCCTGCGTGCCCCGGAGAGATTAGCTGTGAGTAGGGCGGGGGCTGAGACAAGATGGGATGTTGGGGCCAGATAGGCTATTGATGCCTGCTCCTTTTTCTGGGTGTCACAGGCCAAAACTAGCCCGGGCACCTCAGTACCCCCAGAGGCCTCACCCACTGCTGCCCCGGAGTCCTCCACATCCTTCCCTCCGGCCCCTGCCTCAGGCATGTCCCAGTCCCCGCCTGCTGCCGGAGAGGATAAGAGCCCGTCAGAGGAGTCCGTCCCCACGGCATCCCCGGAGTCCGTGTCAGGGTAAGGCGAGGGGGCAGCGGCCCCGACCTGGGCCCTGTCCTCCCGGCACCTTCCAGCACCCGCATATGTGTTCCCACATCCTTGGGGGAGGGCAACCACCAGAAGTCAGGGTCCGATTTCTCTCTCTTGAATTTGCAGCTCTGTTCCCTCTTCAGGTAGCAGCGGGCGAGAGGAAGACGCGGCATCCACGCTAGGTGGGTGGCTGGTCCCCGGGGCAGAAGCAGTCGGGCGCCCCAGCCAGCAGCTGGGCCTTGTGCGGGTGTGGGAGGGCCCGGAAGCTGCCCTTTGCTTTCCTGGTTGACCCAGGCCTTGCTGCTCCTTCCACAGTGACTGGCTCTGAGTATGAGACGATGCTGACAGAGATCATGTCCATGGGCTATGAGCGGGAGCGAGTCGTGGCCGCCCTGAGAGCCAGCTACAACAATCCCCACCGGGCTGTGGAGTATCTCCTCACGGTGAGGTGGGGCTGCTGCCTCCGGGGAGGCCTCACGGGAGTACGTGGGCTTACCTAGCCTGACGGATGGCCAGAGAGCCAAAACCCGCCCTCAGAGGCCCTTGGGTCGTGGTTCCAGCTGGGAGAGGCTTCCTGCAGGAACCTGGACAGGAGAGGTGGGTGGGGCCTGTGGAGGGCACGGCCGAGGCCTCCCCGGTCTTTTACCAGGTCTATGCATGCAGTGGGGAGGCAGCGGGCAGTCTTCTCGTTAGAACTAAGTAGGACCCCTGACAGGGAATTCCTGGGAGCCCCGAGCCCGAACATGGTTCTGTCCAGGAGAGCCAGGTGTCGGAGCAGCCAGCCACAGAAGGAGGTGAGCGGATTGGGGTGTGTGCACGTGGGGTGTCTGCCCTCAGGGCATCTGACACCCCCCCCCCGGCTCCTAAGCTCTGGGAGTCCCGCATGGTGTCTGACTGCCCGCCTTCCTCCTGCCAGCAGGAGAGAACCCCCTGGAGTTCCTGCGGGACCAGCCCCAGTTCCAGAACATGCGGCAGGTGATTCAGCAGAACCCAGCACTGCTGCCTGCCCTGCTCCAGCAGCTGGGCCAGGAGAATCCTCAGCTTCTGCAGGTGCGGCCCTGGGGGTGGAGGGAGCCGGGCCAGGCACCACCCCCACGCCCCGGGTGGGTACTGTGGCCCCGAAAGCTAGCCTGGCCTCGCACGGCGGGTAGGCGTCTCTATTCGGAAGTCAGGAGTGCTGCCCCCTGCCGCTCCACGCGGTCTGACGCTGTACCTGCTTTCATGTAACTTCCCCAGGCGTCCTGTGAGGCGTCAGTGCCGTTGTCCTTGCGTCTCATGGAGGCACGTGCCAGAGGTCTGGAGCAGCCTGGCAGCCGGTGTGTGCCTGCCTCCAGCCTCTGGGTCCTTTGCTGTCTCGTCTGGGTCCCTTGGCTCTGGCTTGGCTTCTGTACAGTTGGTGCATCACAGGCGCTCACTGGGTTGCGTGGCTCTGCCTGGGACTACTGTGGCCAGCAGGGCTCTCCCCTGCCCTTGAAGGTTCCTGTGCACGGGGGCAGTGGCCCCTGGGTGTGACAGGGTGAAGGCCTGCTCTCTCGGTTGAAGACCTGTCGCCTGCTGCTTCTCTTCCGCTTCTCAGTCTCTTGGGCTGGCTCCTTCTGCTTCCTTTCTCCAGGTGTTTAGGGCGCAGGCTGCACAGTTCTATTCTTCATCTTTATTGAGTCCTTCCTGAGAGTCGTCTCGGGTAGTGATGCCCCCACATCGACATGACCAGTCGGGACCTCCACGTGTCATGCTGGTCCATGGCTGACTTGACACGATCGTGAAAGCGCTTTCTTTTTAAAAAAATTTTTTTTAACGTTTATTTATTTTGAGGGGGTGGGTGGGAGGGGAGGAGACAGAGGGAGACACAGAATCTGAGGCAGGCTCCAGGCTCTGAGCTGTCAGCACTGAGCCCAACGCAGGGCTCGGACTCAAACCACGAGAGCATGATGTGAGCAGAAAGTTGGACACCTAAGTGACTGAGCCGTCTGGGCGCCCCTGAAAGTGCTTTCTAGATGTCTAAGACTTCAGAACAGATCCTCTTCCTGTGCCTCCCCTTTCCTGCAAGGACCAGCGTGGTGGTGCTTGGGCCTCGGGCCCTGGGGACCTGCTGGGGTCATTGATCACCTGTCTTGCCAGAACAGGTCACTCAGTCCAGCCCTGCACCCAGCCTCTGTGGCTGCCACCTTCTCTCCCACCCGTTTCCTGGCAGCCACCACCCAGGCCGTGGCTTCTGCACAGCCGCTGTGGCCCCTTTTGCACCAGGAGCTGGATTCCTGAAAAAGCAGTTTTAGCCTTGAAATTAAAGTTGTCACGCAAAAATAAAAATAGAGCTGCAGAACGGCCAGATGAGTTAATGTTTTCAAAAGGTATACAGGTCCCTCCCACCTTTCACCACTCAGCCATCGCTGTCGTCCCTCCTGCTGGAAGGCAGTAGAAGCAAGCAGGTCGGGTCCCTGCGCCTTCCTCTCTGATCTCCTCTTCTGTTTTGTGCATCTTTTGTTTTCATTTACTCTGTTTGTGCCACATGGATCTTCTGTGTCTGGGATTTGCCAAGTGCATTTCTACCTCCAGGACTTTGCACTTAATCGTTCTACTATCTGTAGGAAACTCCCTCCCCGGCCCTCAGATCACGGCCCCTCTTTCCTGGCATGTAGTGGTTTTTTTTTGTTTTTTGTTTTTTTCCCCCCATGCCCAGCAGTTTGCCCTGCTGAACGCTGGGGGCACAATTTATATTGTAAGTCGTTGTAAGTAGGTGTCCACTCATCTGTTACTTTGTAGCCTGTCTGCCTACCCTGGAGCATTAGCTTCACCCGGACTGGCTTGTTTCCAGGCTTGTATCCACTTATGGGGCTGTTTGGCCACCACAGGCACCCTTTAAACATTTGCGGAATGAATGAAAAAGGGCTGTGCCAAGGGCCTGGGGAGTCAAGGGTTGTGAGTCACAGTCTCGTTTTCTCCGTCACACAGCAAATTAGTCGGCACCAGGAGCAGTTCATCCAGATGCTGAATGAGCCCCCCGGGGAGCTGGCAGACATCTCGGACGCGGAGGGCGAGGTGGGCGCCATAGGTGAGGAGGCCCCACAGATGAACTACATCCAGGTGACGCCACAGGAGAAGGAAGCTATAGAGAGGGTAAGAGGCCGGGCTCAGGGGCGACTCCTGGTGGGCCAGGCCTGCACCCCCTGCTCATGCCTGCCCGTCTCCCCACAGTTGAAGGCCTTGGGCTTCCCAGAGAGCCTGGTGATCCAGGCCTACTTCGCTTGTGAAAAGAACGAGAACTTGGCTGCCAACTTCCTCCTGAGTCAGAACTTTGAGGACGAGTGACATAGGGAGGCCAGGCCGCCCCACCCCCAACCCCCCGGCTCCACAAAAGTTTTATAAAAGAAAAAAATATATATATATTCATGTTTATTTAAGAAGTGGAAAAAAATCAAAAACCTTAAAAAAAACACCCAACTTCCCACTCTCCCAAAGCGGCCCCCATTCCCATCTTGGCCTGAGAAGACCCAGGCCAGACAGCTGTCCCTGATCCCCCGCCCCAGCCCTGCCTGCTCGAGAAACTGGCAGGACTGGAGGCGACAGATGGGCCCCTCTTGGCCTCTGTCCCAGCTCCCTGCAGCCAGATGGAGAGGCGGCTGCTTGCTTCCCCCTCCCCCAAAGAGCCCCTGAGACCTCCCCCCCGCCTTCTTCCAGGGTGAGGGGAAGCTGGAGCCCCAAACTTTGATCCTCCATTGGAGTGGCCCAACCTTTCCATCTCGGGTGAGCACTCGGAGGCCTAAGGACCCCCTCCCCAGTCTGGCCTTGGCCTCCGGCCTGCATCCCTTTGCTGGGGAGGAGGAGGCCTGGTTTGTCCTGCCTGGGGAGGGGGTAACATCAGAGCTGCTCTGGAGGTCGAGGCCACGCCCCACCCCAGGACAGAACCGTGTCTCTGATAAAGGTTTTGAAGTGAATAAAATGTTTTAAAAGCTAGGCCTGTGGTGTGTGCCTCCTGGGGCTTCCTCCTCGGGTTCAGCGGGGCCTGGGGGCCAGTTGGGCACAGGTGATGCAGCAGCGCTGAGAAGGGGCAGTGGTCCATCAGCCTCTGCAGACTGGGGCGCCCAGTGTCTCCACACCCCACTCCCAGGCAGTGGGCCCCAACTCCAGTATAGCCCTGGAAGGGCTGCTTCTCCCTGCCCGCCCCGTCCCCCCATCACCATCACAGTCTGTTTTGGCTGCACTCCCCCCCCAGTAATTGGCTAATTACTAGAGATTAATGTTGGTAAACAGAAGCCTTCTTCTCCTCCGCCATCTGCTCCTCCATTATTTCCCCGTTGCGTCTCTTTCTCCCCCCGAAGCCCGAGTTAGTCGCTCGGCCCCGAGTCCCAGAGTGAGCAGAGCCAGGAGAGGAGGGGGGATTCCCCGGCCCAGGGGCCTTGGGGGGGGGGGCAGGAATGGGGCCTGATGACAGAGGACACAGCGCTCCGGTGGGGGAGGGGCCCCAGGTTTTATTGGGAGATGACGATTCACGAACTGGGGGCCGCCGAGGCCGCGGGGTCTGGGGCTGCGGCAGCGGCCAGCGCAGCCGCTCGTGCCTCCTTCTTCTGTCTTTGCTTCTCCTCCTTGAGGCGTTTGCGTTGCTGCTTCTCCAGGTCCTGCAGCAGCTCCTGGAAGCGGGCGCTCCTCGGGTCCACGTGGTAGCCCAGGCGCTCCTGGGCCTCGGCCTGCAGCCGCGCGCGCCGCTCCTTGTCCGCCTGCTCCTTCTCCCTGCGCTCCTGCTGCTGCCGCCGCCAGTTCTCAACCATCTGTGGCATCTTGGCCATGCACTCGGCAATGAGCCGCTCCCTGCAGCGGAGGGGGGGCGGTGTGAGGGTGAGCAGTAACCCCCAGCCGGGAAAGGAGCACCCATCTACCCTCAGCCCAGCCCCTAGTCTGCCCCCCGACTTCCCCGCCGAGAGGAAAAACTGGGAAGACGCGGTGGTCCTTAAAACTGTCAGGAAAAATCCTTGACAAGTGAAGACACAGGCAGGAGAGATGAACTAGCTTGGGGGTGAGCCTGAGCACCAGTCAGCCGAATCCCCAGGACCCCCGGGGGAGGACCCAGAGTCAGCTCAGCATTTCACGGAGCTGCACCCCATATGGCCACTCCCACAACGAGTCCATCCTACAGACCTCAGTGAGCACCTACTGTATGCCAGGCCCACTTGTAACGGCAAGAAATGGATTGGACCTTTCCCCACAATCCTACGAGTAGTTGCGAGGCACAGCCCCGGTGTAAAGACTAGAAACGTAAAGGTGAACGATCTGAAGTCCAAGGCAGGGCTATCCCGCTGGGATGGGGTAGAGACTGGGATTCACGTTCTAGCTCCACTGTTCACTGCCTGAGCAGACAGCTTGAGTGGGCAAGCGATTCCAAACTCCCAGGCTTCGGTTTCTCATCTCTACAATGAAGGTGATCCCCTCTTCCTCTTCGAGCTACTGTGAGGACAAGAACAACGAAAGCCAGGAACACGCTTGGCCTGCTGTCCGACTTGCCTGGCCACTCCCTCTGGCGAGTGGTACCATCCCGATGCCCCTGGTCTTGCTTTCTTCTTTCACAGCTGTCTCCAAGTCTGACTTCTGCCCTTGATTCCAGGCCCCATCACCTCCTCTTCCCCAGTCACACTGGCAGTTCTTAAAGCATATTCCTACCGCAGGGCCTTTGCACCAGCTGTTCCCAATACCAGTAACTCTCCCTAATATCTCCCCACCGCTATGTCTGCTCATTCAAGTCTCTGAAATCTCAAGTACTCAGAGACCGGTTCGAGGTTCCCTGGCGCCGTCTGAAATGACCTGGTTTTGTTCTCTGCTCTGTGCTCAGCACCTGGCACAAGGCCTTGCACAGGAGGCCCCCGGTCAAGATTTGATATGAGTGACTAAGTGAACTGTTACTCAAAAGCCTTGTTTTGCATCTCGGTGAGCATGGAGGTCAGTCTCCGTACTGCACGCAAACCCCGCGCGCGATACGCGCTGGACAGAGCTAAGCGCCCTGCGACACAGTTCATCCAGCCGGCGGCAGAGGGCGCAGCCCACAGCCCCGCGCCCACCCAACCGCTCACACCTGGCCTGACGCTTCTGCTCCTCCGCCCGCCGCTGCGCCCGCAGCGACTCCTGCATGGCCGCCAGGCTCGGGCACCACTCGCGCTCCTCAGCCTCCAGCTCGCGCAGCTGCTCCCGCGACGGCCACAGCGAACCGGCGGCCACCCCGGAGGCGGCGCCGTGCCGCGCGAACTGCTTGGCCGCGTAGCGCGGCCCGAGCTGCCAGCGTGGGGTCAGTGGGTCGTCCGGGTCCGGCCACCAGGGCCCTGGCGAGCGGCGTGGGGGCGGCGGCGCCCGGTAGTCGCGGGAGCCCCGGCCCGAGGTCGTCGCCAGCCCTAGCAGGCGGCGCGCCCCCCGCACGGGCGCCGCCATCTTGACTGTGCGGGGTCCTCAAGGGCCGGCCGGGCTGGCCGCAGCACTGCCTGCGCGCGAGTGCCGACGCCGGGAGGGGCGGGGCGGGGCGGGGCGGGGTCCCCGCTGCCTCTGCTCCCCGCCGGGGAGAGACAAGGGGGTGGACAGTATTCTCTACATCTTCAAATATAATTCAGAATATTGTTTACCTGTTATTTATTAAAATCATAGTATATTTTAATTTTATATTTTCAAAGTAGCATTTGATTTTTATTTTAAAATTTAAATAGCTAAATATTAAACTAATACTTATTCAAAAATTTAAATAGGACTTGAGTTTGAAGTTTAGTCTACATATTACTTTACATTTTAAATATTTAGGATCTATGTAAGGTGTTCGTTAAAATGTTTAGATTTCATTTTAAATACTTAAATATTGTTTATAACATTAAATATTTGTTATGCTTCATTCTAGGCTTTTAAATTTGATTTTTAATATTTCAAGATTTTTATTTGTCTTTTAATGTTTATTTAGTTTTGAGAGAGAGAGCGAGCAAGCAGGGAAGGTGAGCAGAAAGAGGGGCAGAGTGAGAGGGAAACACAGAATCCAAAAATAGCTCCAGGCTCTGAGCTGTCAGCAGGGAGCCCAGTGCAGGGCTTGAACTCGTTAACCCTGAGATCATGACCTGAGCCAGAGTCCGATGCTTAACTGACTGAGCCATCCAATTGCCCTCAAGGTTTTTATTTTAAAGAATTATTGAAAACCTTACCTAGGCAATTGTTTTAATTTTTTGAAGGAGAGAGAGGCAGAGCATGAGTAGGGGAAGAGCAGAGAGAGAGGGAGACGCAGAATCTGAAGCAGGCTCCAGGCTCTGAGCTGTCAGCACAGAGCCAGACGTGGGGCTCGAACCCATGAGCGGTGAGATCATGACCTGAGCTAAAATCAGAGGCTCAACCAACTGAACCATCCAGGCACCCCCCACACTACCTTTTAAAAACAGGATTTCAGTCTTGGAAAGGAAGGAGATTGGATGAACAACATGGATAAACCTGGAGGGCATTGTGCTGAATAAAATCAACCAGTCACAAAAAGACATATATTTGGGTGATTCCGCTTATATGAGGTCCTTGGAGCAGCCAAGTTCCCAGAGACAGAAAGTAGACTGGTGGTGGTCAGGGGCAGAGGAGACAAAGAATGGGGATTAGCTAGTGTTGAAGGGGGACTGAGTTTCTGTTTGAGAAGATGAAAACATTCTGGACATGGACAGTGGAAATGATCACACAACAATGTGAATGTGTGGAATAGCCTGAACGGTACACTTGAAAATGATTAAAATGGTATATTTTATGTTATATGTATTTTATCATGCACACGAACTGCAGTTTGCTCAGTGAACTAGAAAGCCTGGAGAAGGACATTCATACTTCACAGCAGCACGTGTAGACATCAGCCCCAAACCAGAAACAGCAGCTGCCTGAGTTCACTCACGGCAGAACAGAGACCTGAATTTTGACGTTTTAGCCAACAGAGTGCTACACAGGAACGCAAGCGCAGAGGTTACACCCGCTCACAGCAACGTGAGTGATTTCACAGACCTCATTTGAAAAAAAATTTTTAATCTATTTTTAAATTTACATCCAAGTTAGTTAGCACATGGTGCAACAGTGATTTCAGGAGTAGATTCCTTAATGCCCCTTACCCATGTAGCCTCTCCCCCCCACCCCCTCCAAGTAACCCTCTGTTGGTTCTCCGTATTTAAGTCTCTTATGTTTTGTCCCTGTCTGTTTTTTTTTTTTTTTTTTTTTTGCTTCCCTTCCCTTGTGTCCATCTGTTTTGTATCTTTTTTTTTTAATTTTTTTTTTTTCTGAGAGAG